TACCTAAGCTATACAAATTCCGCGAGGACATAACAACGTTGGAGTATTGGTTGTATGTGGCGGACGCTGTGCAATTCGTAAAGCCCTGCGTCATTGTTTTAAATGCACCATAAAGCCCGGTGCGTTACCTAGTAATAATACCGTTATCAAAAAGAGCACCACGGCTAGGGACCTAGGGTTGTGTTATTCCAAACGCTTAAACGTTAACAAACAAATGAATTTAGTGTAGCTAAAACACGACAGTTAGCCTGCCACATAAGCCGGCACATTTAAACTGCTGAAGCAAGAGTAGAACTTTCAAAAGGTGCATTCCTACGCAAATGGAATATTGCACATTCCTATGTAGCAGTGTACAGATCCATGGCCGGATCCTACCTGAAAAAGCTAAGAGGCACATAACAAAAAGGCTCCTTAATGATAACCGGTGTATTACTTGCAAAAACAATGCCTCCACCTCAAAGGCAAACACATTTGGTTGCGTAGCATGAAACATAAAATTAGCTTTTTATATAAACTTGTTCACAAAAAGGCATATAGTGCACACCCACGCTTGCAGCTAAGCAATGGAGCAACGTTCAAGTTCCGTAATAAGAATAGCAGGTTCTGCCCTTGAACGACAGAAAAATTGCGCACACATTTTTTCTTTGTCTGTTATGTCCCTCTTTGAAATAAATTGCCTACCCATGTTATGGAGAGTACGCATCAGATACGCTTGACGAAGGACGTACGTAACTTGCATAACTTCGAAAACGTTAAACACCTGCTACCCATCGGTGACACTGATACAGACTGAATTGAATCAGACACCGACGCGTCTAACTCGAGTGTGCGCGCACGACCATCCAAACAGAAAAGATACACTTCACCTTAGGTTTTACTTTGCATATCCCGGCATTACCCTAGGAACAAAACAAAGAACATAACGAGTTTTCACCCCTGTATTCTAAGCAGATGCTACACCTAAGTCACGGACCAACATCAACATCAAAACAAACATAAATAATGAAGTAAATGCAGAGATAAAGCATTGTGGCAGGCCTAATAACGTTTTACCAATAGGTGTGTAGAGCTAAAAAATGTACGGTAGTTTTTGAGAAAGGATTTTGTATATATACGAAAGCCATTCTATCGATGATGGAAAAGGAAGCCTTTTAGTGCATTATGACGAAACAGAAATATGTTATCGGTTCACATTTGCATGATGAGTTTCCAAATAACTTATATTGGGGCGCCAAATTTAGACAAAATCGCAGCAGACAAAGAAGTAACGAAACAAATAAAATCTTACTTTTCGGTTAGTGCACTGTAACAGGAGAAACGGATACACTCTAATAATTTTGTGCTATAGTTTTAGTGCTACTTTGTAACCCTTAGTTCTACGTTCGAATTAAGGCAAGATTGCAAGTTACCTTTGGATAGGAAGATTCATCGTTGGAAAATATATCGCATTTTGATCAAACATTTCACAGAATAGCTGAATGCGTCGTGCGATTTGGCCGGGGGCAGCCCAAACAATATCATTTTTGCTGATACCCTTGAGCTTAGTTTGCTAAATTATGCTTAATTTTTCCGAACCCATTTCTATATTATTAGTGTCACGCAACTCTAGCTAATTGGTGTGGGAGATGTAGCCTTATTAATATAGAACAGCGGCTTTAGGAGATAAAATGCGATAGGTATCTGGGTGTGGGCATTTTTCAGGCCACATGTCAAAGGCTCCTAAAAGGCTCCTGTCTTATTCAGGTATACCTAGCTCATGCAGCCATGGTATAAACTTTGCAACCACCTAGAGGGTTAAAAATTGCTAAACTCTATATTTGTAGTGGTACACAACGACGTTCTGACAGTGGGCTAATTATAGGTAGTTTTGAAGTCCCTTGAATATAAATAAAATTGCTTATAGGATTCCTAGTGTTTTTGCGAACGGTTATAGCTTATTTGCTTATATTTGCTATGTATGCTTGAATGGTTTACTTTTTGGCCACCTACGTCCCACCTAGTTGTTGGGGTAGTGCGGGCTAGTTACAGCATTTCTAGGTAGCTCTTCCTATTTGGAAATTGTATCCCTCGCCATCTTTTACAATTTATCTTTTTGCTAATATCTACGTACAAAGAAGAAAGCCCTTTTTATTGAAAAGATAATGGCCTTGGTCATGGACCGCTATTCAATTGCGAGTAACTCATGAACTACTTAACGTATTGCAATGATTTTATTTTATCCTTGTCAGCGGTGAAAACTTGTTCTGAGTAGCTTACTTTTGCAATATTCTAGTCTTAGAAAAGCTTATTTTATGAGCTTTACTCCAGGTAAAAGTTGGGGTAGCGCAAAATTCTTTTAAAGGCTGTTGCGTGCAAATTAATAAGCAACTCTAAGTAAACGTTCAAATCGTAAGCAACGCTTTTGGAAACCTTTAAAAAGGGTAAAAAGAAGGATTAAATGGACAATTTGTGCGATGGTCGATTTACTTGACGGATTTGTCGATCCCTATATAAGGGAGCGCGTTATGGTGCTCCGCCATACTTGCCAGCATCATGGACGCTCCGTGCTTTACCTGCTCCAAGTGGTCGACTGCGATAGAATCAACGGGGAGTACGGCTGCCATAGCTCAAGCTTAGCGACACTATGTTTGGTGAACAAGGACCGGTTATTCAACCAGTTAATGAAGGAGGAATATGGAACAATTGTAGGGTTCAGGGAAGTCTTCTTGGCATTTCAACGTCAATCCTGCACGTTATTTTACGTGTAAAATTCTGAACCAGCCGGTGAATGCTGCCGAAATCGTGGTATGGTGTCACGGACAGCAACGACACATTTGTACTTGAAGTACATAGGTGGATTTGCCAATCGGAAACGCGGTACAGGCCGCCGGTAAGTGATTTTAATCCTGATAAAGCTGAGCATTCAGTTACCAAGGCTGCGATTTTGCCGCTCATTGCACGTGTCGCCTCGTCAATGGCTCGTATGAGGTAACGTATAACTCTAGGATGCATAGCCCTGATTTTAACGTAGGAAAACCATGGTTACACTTGCGTAAAAGCAGGCTTTCACAGGAGCGTAAGTGACAAGTTTTCGAGCGCAGGCAGTGTTTTAAGCGTACGCGTGAAATAAGAGGTTTTGCGTTTGGTGCCTTTCTAGTGCGGTTGGAACGTGCAGACGTCAAGTCCATACGTAACCGGCACACAAAAATGGAGCGTGGGAACGAAACAATTTGAATGAGAAGGCTGCTGTAAGGAAAAGGGATATGCGAAATGGTGGATAACAAAGGTATTGTACGGTATGTATTGTTTATACCGCGAAGCAGTATACCGGTAGCTAAGCCCCTCTGCGATGTCATCTCGGCAGGCGCCATACGTCAGCACAACCAAGGTGCGTATGTGCTGTGGCATGCAATGCTGTTTGAAAAAACCGCCTTCGCTCCTATTTTCTCTATACCCACTTTCCTAACGAAAGTGGGCTCAATTACCATGAAGCAGTGCAGCGCATGCCGGAGCATTTACCAAAAACCCGTAAAGCAAGGACTCCGGCGCTAGCGCGCTCCGTAACGAACATGAACGCCTTCAACCCACACATCGCAAATGCGCATGTGATGTTTTGCCGCTTCCATGTAATGAGGCACATGCGGAAACGTTGCGCTAACCTTAAAGTTTGCAATGCTATGAACGGCACGGAAGTGGTGCAAGGGATGCGCAAGTTGGTGTATACACAAAGCAAGCCACAAATTACCAAAATGCATGCTGCCAGACGTGCTCGAAGTAAGGAGGCGTTTAGGTATCTTAATAGCACGTGGCACCCCTACAAGGAAAACTGGGCAGAACACACTTTAAATGGCGTCAGAAAGTTGGGCAAATTCAACACGAGCTAAGTGGATGTAGAAAATAGGCACCGGAACCACGGTTTGTCCGGTAGGTCAAATGTCTTACAACTGTTTGAGCTGGAGTTACGAGGAAAACATGAAGTAGACCAGGCAAGGGAAAGCCGCATAGCGAAAGCGCACGTGAGTGTGGTCGAAACTCCCTCATACGCGCGTTGCTTAACCGTGAGTTTGCGCCCCTTGGAGACATATCTCCGTAAAATGTTTCTGAAGCATCTATCGGTAAACATGGTGACAGACATGGGATCTGCCCAGGGAGGCTGGAATGTGTGTACTTGCAGTGCGCTGTCCTTCCAATTGATATATGCAGGCGCCCGGCTTTGCAAAGGTGCATTTACCATGCATTGAAATTTGCCGTGCGCCCAGGCCCTAGAGGTATGCCTTCTAACCGACCATCCGCAAGAGAACCTTTTTCAAGTGAGTCTGTGGACTTCACCTGCACAAACCCGGAAAAGTTTTCCCAGCCTGGTAAACAAATTTACCAGGAGGTGGATGCGGCTCCACAGTGCAAGGCTGCCGAGGTACTAGCCATTATCGAAAGTATTGGATAGGAACTAGCTATCGCGGTTAACGCGATGGGCATTTCCAACTTCCCCCTTATTTGTCTACTAACCTCACCATTCTTCAAATCATCTCTCCTATCCATATTGTCTCATTCACTGCTCTCACACCTCAATGACTACCATTACCCTAATCACTTCCTTCCTCCCCTAAACACTAATCTTCCGCACACTCCTCTACAATATTACATCCCACTAACCACCCTTCCTCATTTTAATCACCATATATATAATTTATCTGCCAAAACATCTCTCTATCCACACATATCCTTCACCCTTAATCTAATTTCCTCCATATATTTACTTTTAAGAATCTTACTCAACCTCGCTTTTTATTAACCCTTACTCTCCAAAAATCTCCATTTACCCCCCCCTCCCCTCTTCCTCAACTAAATCCCTCCCCCCTTCTCTACAAGTCTCCTAACACTCAACATCCCCCATAACACACAAATCTTTCCTCACATCCCCCCCCCCCTCCCCTAAAATAACTTCACATATTCAACAAACCTACTCCCACAAATAATAACTCATATAAACTTCTTCCCTTAAATTATACCAATAAACTAATCTAACACCCATACCCCAACATTCCCCAAAAACAAATCCAATAACCCCCACTACTCCCCCCCCACTTATTCAATACACTCTTCCACACACCTAACCCATTCCTAATACACCCCACACCCCCCTCCCCCCCCCCCCCCCACCCTGACCCCCCCCCACCCCCCCCCCCCCCCCCCCTTATCCCCGCCCCCCCCCCCCCCCCCCCCCCCCCCCCCCCCCCCCCCCCCCCCCCCCCCCCCACTCCAACCTTTATTTCATTCCACCTTTTTCCTCTCACACCCCCCCCCCCACCTGTCATATATACCCACTTTGTCCCCTTTTTCATAAACCCCCATTGTGTTGTCCTTTAAAGGACACGGGAAGAAGCCCGCTAGGATCCGTTTGCCTGGTTTTCTCCTAGCAGCTGCGTTAGGTTTCACAACCTGGTCTGTCAAAAGACTAGCTCGCAAATGAAAGTCCTTAATTAGCTCGAAGGGTCAAAACCATCACTCCGCAGAGGCGACCGCTTACTTACCCGGATATTCCCTTTGTCTGCTTCATGTCGTACAAACGGTTATATAACCATATCCTTCATTGTAGTTTAGGTTGCTAATTGTTTGCTTGCTGGAATGTTGCTCTTGATTGCATGCTTTCTTTACTCAGTAGTGCATTTAAAATGTAGCCTGTGCAGCCGCGCGGTTTGTTACGTGGAACTATTGTGGACTTCCCATATCACCCGTAACTGGTTCAACATTTGTGCCATTCAGGTAGCGGGATTGTACGTTTCCACGATAACCGTATATCTCGTTCCGTTAACTTACATTATCCCTGTATTTGGGGTTTTACGTAAAGACATTTTCGTACTGTCAAGCACTTTATTCATACCGTGCAAAAAGTGCACATTGGTATCGTGTTGTAACCATGAACTGACGCATCAGTAATGTTTGCAACCACGTATTCCTTCTGCTACTTCATTCATTTATATGAAATGTCTCGTGCATAACGGATGAAATTAGCACATCCACCGAATAGGATAGTAATCAAAATGGTAGGGTTAGCGATGTAGACACAGCGACCAGGTTGGTTGCATGAATCATGGGGATGTACGTAAGTAAAGCGTGATGGAAGCAATTTTGAAAAGAGCGTGTAGACCGTACTACAAGACGTTACACAGCCTAGTGGCAAGTAACGGATACCTACCATTGGCTGAAACCGCAACTATCGGTGAATTCCTTCAGTGTCTTTTACGATGGATTGTTTACCCAGGAACAAATACTATGGTAACAGGTGTAGATGGATTTAAAACGAAACAGCCCGACAAAAACCTGGGTACCAACATTCCGCCCACACTGAGGCGAAGCGCATATAATGCTGTAATGGCCGGTAGGTTGGTATCGGCAGGAGAAAGAAAATGTTGGGTTTGGCCATCCAGGGGTTGTAAGGTAGGTGCCGTGACCATGTAGCCTCGATGTGTTAAGCAAACTGGGCTGCACGTAAGTAAGTGGCTGCCTTTCAGTTTCGACACCTACCTGCCGTTCAAAACAAAACCGTAGCCTCATTAAAAATACCTTCGGGAAACGAGTTCAGCTCGCGATAACTACATCATAAGCGTGATCCAGTCTGAACGCAACTTGTGTTCCCTTACGGGAAGACCACGAAGACAATAACACTGTAGTCCGGCTGTATAGCCAGCCAAAGTCTGGATCTACGCTCCAAGTTCAATTGCGGTGGGTAAGGGTCTATAGGTTTAGGTCATGCGCAAACAAAGGGTTATTATATCAAGCTCCCCTGGGAGGTTATGTACGATTACGGAGAAAAGCTTCGGTCACAGTACAAAGCCCGGCGCAGGCTTACATGGGGCGAAGAGAAGTTAAGCACCAGTTGTTGTTCCCAGCTAATGGGCTCGCCTGTTGACCGTCTGGTAACTTCGCTCGGGTTATGTTAACCTCAAGCGGGTGCGTAGGGACACAGCAGAGATGCAGCCGGAAGCCATTGTGTCTGTAAACTACATAGGTTACAGACAAGTTAGGGAAATTGAATCACCACCAGGTGATACAGTACACATGCCGTCAGCATAAATACCAGGAAGGGGCATTTATAAAGAAATGCAAAATCTAGCTGCCGTGGGCGTTCACGCCCATGCAAAGTGCGCATGGATATTTGGCGGACTGTAAGGCGAACGGGCCACACAACAGAGCAGCGAGGCATGGGTTACTGCACCTTGAAGCGTAAGAACCTTCATGCATTGGTTACACCGTTATTAATGGGAAACCATTTAGAGCCTTCATAAATGGAATGCAAATGAAAAATCATTCTAAAAGTCGAATCACACCATCGATTGCGAACAGTCAGTAAGTACCGTCTACGTAGAGGAGCAATGGAATAATCATTAAGGACATAACCAAGAGTATCAAATGGATCGACTGAGCGCTGGCATGGCTGAGACAGGCCAATTATAAAGCAGCAGCATTAGACTAAGGGAAACCAGCTGGCACAGTCCGCCGAAAAGCGTAGCTACGAAGCAATAGCTTTGCTGAGACAGACCAGAGGTTAACTAGTTACATCGGGCATTGTGATTCCATGCAGAATTGCCCATAGATCAGAGTGGATCTACCAAGCAATGGCTTAACTGATCTAGATTAATGCAATATTTTTGCGTTAAGGTAAAGGAATTTAGGAACCATCGTCCAACGTTTAAAATAGAGCTACAAAGCGATGGCTTGGCTGAGATATACCATGTAAAAATGGCTCCAACTGGCTAGGTGATACTAGGAAGCCTCGTCTACAGAGCAGATTTGAGCTACAAAGCAACGGCTTAACTTAGGTAAATCATCTAGAAAATGGTTGCATTAGGCTAAGTAAGCCTGTGTACCATCGTAGAAAGTTCAGAATAGAGCTACAAAGCCGCGGCATGGCAGATATGGATTATTTATAAGATGGTAGCAGCTGGCTTCTTGAATTTAAGTAGCTTCCTGCACAGATAAGAATGGACCGACCAAATGATGACTTAACGGTGACAGCTCAATTGTACCACAGTTGCGTCGGCCTACGTAATCCTCGGTACCATCGTACAAAGTTCAGGATAGCTAAAATACAACGGCTTTGCTGGGATATACCATGTAAACTACGGTTCCAGCAGGCTAGAAAATGCTAAAGAGCCTTTCCACAGCTCAACATAGGGCTAACAAGTACTGGCTTGGCTGTGCGAAACCAATTATAAAAAGGTTCCACTAGGCTTGGTGATTCCATGTAGCATCGTCCAGAGACCATAATTTACATGCCAAGCAGTGGCGGGACCAGGATTCTTTATTCCACCTCTCTTTGACCATGAAACTAGCCTGACCGTTGTCTCTTAAATAATTGGTAAAGGCCTTCGTGGTACGCAATGTGGTCTGATCAAGCTTTGTATTTCCTTACATTGGACAATTATAAAATACGTATGCAAACTTTGCGAATTCCCCGTACCATCCGTTGCGCGTTGTGTTCTGTCTATTTACATGCAGCTTACTTGCTATAGACCGGTTCCAAATCCTTGCAGCTACCTTAATCTGCGGAGACACGTTCGCTTACCCTTTGGAACCGTCAAGGAGGTGCCTTCGCTAAGGCCAACATAGTGATTGTAATGGGCTTCGAGAATCAAAGTAGCTCCGTCTACGATTCACACTATGCACTGTTATTCCTCTTTAAGATTGCAACGTAGGTCCAGGAATTTCCGTAATTCCAGAAGCATATGTGGCTTTCCTAACGTTGTATATATATCAGGAAGATTCTGTTGCGTCTATGAGCTTATCTTTGTTAGCAACCACGTCCATGACACGAAAAATACAGCTCTGTACTAGCCTCTCAGTAAAACATAGGGTAAAGCTACAAGGAAAGGCGTCCTCAGAATAGTTTTACACGCTGTGTTCATAACTGGTGTCACATTATTTTGTGTTAGCAGCTTTCCATTTGGCGACGGTTTTCTCTATGTAGCTTCCGTTAAACTTGGAGGCTCAGCTGGAGTACGTAGCTTTTAAAGCACCTGGTGTTAGCGCGCATCTTCTGGTACGTAGTGGTGCTACGAGTAAAAGATTATAGTTTACGGCATCCAATTGCTTACAGCTTTCCTCTTTAACCAAAACCCAACGGTAGACTAAGCTTAGAAATTTAAATGTTCGCCATCTCCCGGTCTACCGCGGGCTATATAAAGTTCGCGCGGTAGAAGGATTCTCAGCTACCGAAAGTTGGCACCTGAGCTCAACTTCAGCACAACAACTTTGAATTATGTTTGTTGTACAATTGTATTTTTCTAGGGAAATACGCTATTTTACTATGTCTCTTAACAAAAATGTTTCATATATAGTTGCATTTCTAAAATAAGTTTTAACATTTTCATATTCCTTATAATTCTGCCGCTCTTGGTTCTTTGCAACCGCGCACCAATAAGTGGGATGACTGGGTGGTCTGAAATAGTCCAAAATTTATAGTGAATTTGTGGTAAATTAGATCCTGTTTCGCTATAAAAGCTGCACAACTACGGCTCTGCGCAACCTTCAAAACAAACAAAATCAAGTAGCACAATATCGCTTGAAGGA